TTATTAAGGCATTAATTAGATGCAAATTATAAATAAAGCAGTTCTCAGTCTTTATCGTCTAACCTAACGTGTACATTGTTCTTTGCTGTGGTAGACTTGCATCATTAAAAAAAGTAGCAGCTTGTACATCACTAATGTATTACTGACTTATTTTATTAAATGCATTGTGTGATGCCGACTAACGTAAGAATAAATGGATACATGATGCTTTTAGATATTACAAACATATTAACTTATTAAAAGTAACTAGTAAAAAAGTTCAGAAAAGCTCTTTGTTAATATCCATTAAATTACTATCGTAACATACTGTTACTCATATTTGTCCGGTTTCATTTCATTGTTATACTTTTCTATACAGTCATCAGTGATATTGCTTTTTATTGATTTACGACCAAAAGGTTACGTACGTCGTCTAGGCGCATTTACTTTATTAGTAATCAATAATATCGTTATTTTAAAAGGCCATAGATTGTATCATAGATCAGATTGTTTTTGGATAAAAACTTTAGTGAACATATTAGAGGTTTGTTCGAGGCCATGAGGGATTTGGAAATTCCTGAAAAATACATTTTGGGCAATCAAATGCAGGTATTATCGCTGTTGCGCGATAGTTGTAATAAATGTGTCAGGTGCGCGAGAGAGGAGGCGTAGCTGCCCCTAAAATATGGACTATTTCATATTCTTTGTTTCGCAAACAGGTTAGCTCCCCTCGGTCCGCGGCGCGGCAACGTGCTAGCTTTCAATATGTGGACGACATAATCTAGATTCTCGGTATTGCCAGCCCTAATCGTGTACCTAGATTTGCGGAAGCTACTTTTAATATATTTTTAAATATGCACATAAAAAAAGGAAAGTAGTTTCCTACATTAAAATTTTACTTCGCAAATAGTGGACTTCGTTATAAAGAACGAAAGGCTTTGCTGGTACATGCCAAAAAACATATAAAACAAGATGAAAGTTACAGGAAAAATTGGCAAAGTGGTTCACGAAAGTTGTTGACGTAAGCGGGAAAGGTGTACCAAAAAGGATATTTCATAAGTTGAAAGGGAGCATATGAGAGGCCTACGGCTCACCTTTTTCTAAACGTTCCAAATGAACCGTCCACAAGTGTGAATGATCGGTTGGCTAGCACGTAGCTCCATCCCATCTTTTGCCCGTACTGTGGATAGATCCCGTAGTGAGCCGCACGCGAGTGCGACCTAAATAAAAGTTCGGATCACATTGCATTCAGCCGGTCGGCGAACGTACAAATGGACAATTTGCCGTACGGTGACCTTCAGTGGATTTCAGTGGAAGATATGAGAAGGGGAGGTGCGCTTGGAAGACAATGTCGTACATATTTTAAGCGGGCACGCCCCGTTCGCACAAAGGCGTAATTTATAGGGCCGCGCGGAGACGGGCGGCTGAGTTATGTCCCGACGATAGCGACGAGCTTTTAACTGCCTAATGGAGCGATTTACTCCGACCACCTTGTGCCTACTCCACTGTTTACGGCGAAGCACGTCTGTGACACGCTGAGTTGTGTAGATAACGACGAGGAATTAATTTCTCGTCTCCCGTTCGGCACAGATTTGAGTATATTTGAGACGATTAGAGCGTCCTTAATCTTGGTTATTATAGATACTTAGGATAGGGCAATAGTTCGCGCGGGGGCATGCGAGCAGGCGCCGGAGCTGCGCGAAAGTTTTTCAATAAAACATGGCCCTCAGAGACAACATTTCAATGGAGCGCAGGCGATGTTTACGGCCGGCGCTCGCTCCTCGACACTACAGAACAATCCAATCTGAAGGTATTGATCAAATTGTACGGATACCAGCATTTACGTACATTTTATCGGCATAAGTAGGCGAATGGCATTGGATTGGCAATCCGATTGGATTGCATCGGTATGGCAATACTCGTAAAAGTTGTGTACACATCAGCCTACTATTGCGTTATTTCAAGGCACGAATACCTAATGCCCTACCTAATACTCGTATGGTATGGGTTACATTTTGATAATTTGCTTCAATGTGCTACTATTTTAATGAGATGTTAAGTAAACAGCCGTCATTAAAAATCATTTAGATCCAATATCGAATAAAATAAAAATGCAACAATTTTTTTATTCAACCGTTTGGAAAAATTCATTTAGATCCAATATCGAATAAAATAAAAATGCAACAATTTTTTTATTCAACCGTTTGGAAAAATTCAGGCTGCGACTTAAAAATATTTTTGTCCACTGAACCAGTCGCATTGTGTAAGCGTTCGAATGTAAAGGAATTGTATTCACATCTGCGTTGCTATCCAACACAATACCTTAAAAAGAGGAATGAACGTGCAATGGCCTAGATATTTGTAACACTTTTAGCCGACGTTTCCTTGAAACTGTATACATTTCATCTCACTTATACAGTGCATGGGTACGAAACTTCTGGTTTCTTTAGATCAGAGGGTTCCACAGTGTTGTTTTGTGAGAGTGCCGCCTACGCTGCGCTTGTGCTGGCTTTTGTTGGGCGTTTTGCATCGCAGGTCAAGCGCAATCCTCGGAGATTGCCCCGGGCTATGCGCGGGAATAAAGTAAGCCATTTGGAGAGCATGTCTGCAACACTCTGGGTATGCGTTTAGTTTCAGGGTCCCCTCCAGAGAAAGCTGCTAAGATACTATCTGTTAATGAACGCCTGCCCCTTCCCGAGTGTTAAGTACCGGATAACTCCTAGGAGTTGTACGTGATTCGCAAACTTTCTAATTAATATTCTGGGTTAAAATATTAAGTATGAGGCTACGAGCTGCTCGACGACTTTCGCTGTTACAGTTCACTTAATCGCCCGGAACAATAAATGAACGGTATACAGTAATGGATTGTAATAATTGATACCGTACAATCGTCATTAGAAGAAACAATTAGGTCGATAGTGGATTACTGAGGGTGATTGCGTCGCGGAACGAGGTATTTGTGTCACATCGAGCGATCGATCCGCCCACTCCCAGCCAATTACCGCCGATACATGACCGAATATTGTTCTCGATGTGTACGAACGATGGAACGCCACCCCACGCCTGAGAGGTGCCAGCCCTAACAGCGTGCATCGGTTACGACATGCTGCAAATAAATAAAGCGCTTCACCTGCTGAAAACATTGGGAAGATTTAACAAAACATTGAAACATTTAACTAGAATATGAGAAATAAAAAAATATATAATATTTACTTTAAATAAAGTAGAATTGAAAAAAAAATACTCGTAATAATAGTAAATAGAAGTTTTAAATACAATTTTAACAAGTACAAGCAGTGCCTCCAAAAATTCCCTGTAATGGTTTTAAACAATGTAAAATTTTAACCTGAAACCTGAATGTATAATTTCAATTAGGGCACTAAATAAATAGATGAATAAAACAACGACGCGGCTCAGGGCGCTTCCGGCTATTAACTTAATTTGTTTTCACATAAACTCGGCAAAGCTCATCAGCGAACGTTACATACACAATGATGCTTTTAGGCCCAACTCATGTTAATACGTAGCCACTTTTGTTACATAATCACTCGAATGGAAACATCGCTCCAGATGCGACGTTCAACCGCTCGTAAATAAAAATGAAAAATTAGATATGAGAACAACTGATAAAATTGCCAAGTCCAGAGACACGGCAAGAAGTTTCATTAAGATTTAGTGAAAAGATGCTTAACTAAATAATCCTGGCAGGAGGCAGGGCGAGCGCACTGCGGCCTCTAACGACCCTACAGCGCTCGAGTGCTCTCCGCGTTTCAGTCGCTTCGCGCTCATGCACTTTTCTAGTACGCACTGTTTATGCCCCAGTTCGGTTCAGAAACTCACATTTAACCGCAGACATCGCATTCCAATTTGAATATCGATGCTGCATTTTATATGACTTTCAAAACCGAAAGAATTTATTGTTAAATCTCTCCGGAATCCAAAATGCATTTTGTATTTATCGAGTTGTTGCACGTAACGGCATAAGACGCTGCACGAAGCGACCGATGGAAAGTTGTTTAAACAATGACGTGCTTGAAGTTGGTAACTGATGGTTAGTATGTGAACAAGCGGACTGCATGTAGCAAGCTTAGTGGAAGGATGCTCAAGATATGAAGAGCCCTCGACGCTCGTAGCCTTCTGCTGCGCAGTGGCGCTGGCGTGAGATGTTTATGAATTATGTATCGTCAGGAGGCTGATACTCGCCGTTTAAATTTTGCATAAAATCTTTGTAAAACGTTTTAGTGTTGCAAAGTTACTTGGCAAACGGAACTTGCAACTTTTAATCTTGAAAAATTCTTTTCGTGCACCTAATTTTCAATTCCCACTACTTTGTGTAGAGTTGAATTTTTCAGACATGCAAAGGGCAAAGCTGGCAGGGCATTTAGGAAAATATTTCAAACAAAAACCAGCAACCCAAACTGAAATAAATGTCGTTTGCATAAAACAAGATAAGTGCCAATAGCTGGCGTCTGTCGGATGAATGAATAACGACGAGGAATTTGGACCGCAATCACACTGGCCAAGATTAATGATTCGATCCTGTTGTTGAATAGAGAAGACTCCGTCAATGCTAATTTCGGGCAGCGATGCGCTGGCGGCTGACACTTAGTTTCCTATCTCCCGTTCCATTTTGACAATCGGGTAATTAGCAACCGGTGTGCACCGGTCGAACTTATAATTGATAATTTGGAGAACTATGTCCAAGACATTAGTATTCGGTTCTGTTGCGGTCAGTTTCAGGGGAACCCATATCGAAACTGATTCAGTGTTGTAGCGTCAAATAACTGTTGCACAGCCAACCCAGCTTGAGTAGTTAGTACCTACTTGCTAATTGATATTCTGAACTACTTATAAGGTGTTGGTACCTACGTGCAGTACGTTTGTTCTACCTATATCATAGACGTGTAGAAACTTACAATTTAGATTATTAGACTATTTTTGATGTTAACAAAGTTGTTTTAAAAGTGAGTAACATTTTTTAAATAGTAAAAATCCATTCTACAATTCTTATCCTCCAATAAGCCCAATTACCTAGAGACTCGACTTCACGGCTGAAGTTCTTAAATAAGATGGAATATCTGTATCGATTTTACAACAACAATGAAGCGTGTACGTATTGCCATTGTAATTTATCGCTGATTCATGTCCGTTGCGCTGTCGTTATTTCAGCCGAGTGACTCGGGTGAAGTGAAATAAATGAAACTATGTTACACACGCGATTGAGCAAATATTTCATCAACTTGTTGCCTTACAAAACATATAAAAATCATTGTAGTCTCGATAACGTCCTTTAGGAGCAAGACTGGCAGAAATTGGATTCGGATTGGAGACGCTGCCGCTGCGCGTTGCTAGTTGCGGATGATATTAGTGTATTATTGGATCGAGTGCGGGTGTTGTCTTGTATTTGTATAACGTGGCACGTATTCGTATCAGGGTTGCCAGATATTAACTGCCAACACGAGAGGAAGTATTTTTAAAGACTACAATATACCTACTTACATGTACGTACATCTATGCTTGTAGGTACCGTAATTTGTATGTAAGAACATAATTTACCTTCACAGTAAAGTTTCAATATTTAGTATAAAAAGCTCGCTATTACTGTTAGTTGTTGCCAAGCCGCTCAGAGGACGTTGACCGCTATTTTATAGGATAGAACTTGACCGCTTTTGAATTTGAATAGGTATCATTCTTTGCTCGAGTCAGTGTCTCAAGTTCAGATCCTTAGTCCATGAGAGAAGTCAACTAGATCAACATTACATCATTATGAATCGAACTGGAAACCTAGTTATTTCTGATCAAGTCATGCCTCTTCAACGAGTATATTATTAAACACATTCACCTCACTTAACATTCAAAGTTTCTTTAACTTTGAGGATCACTTCCAAAGTTCTACCTACCTTAATTGAATAAATTCGCGTAGGTGTGCAGACGAAATAGAATCAATTGTCTCGAGGCACGACCGTCAATTAATTTTGTTCATTCATTATATTTTATTCAAACGCCTTTCGTTATTCGGTTCTAGGTAGAGTATACATTTCTACTTTTATTTTTAAAGATAGTTTAACAGATTTTATATATATTTTATCTTACTCAATAACTTTGTAGTTTCCACTCTCAATTCTATGAAATTTGTTTCTGAATTGTATTTAAATTTGCATGTCTGAAAGGACTAAAAGTGCGATTATAATATTGTTCATGTTTTCATCCTTTGTTACCACTTTTTAAGCAAATAAATTATTTCTATTTCTATTTCTATTTCTATTTCTATTTCTATTTCTATTTCATTTAACTGAGTTTTTCTCAACGGATGTCATAATAATATTTGTCTTAAACGTTGCCGCGTTGGTAGGTGCTAAACTAAAAGTAGAGTCCTACAGGATCTACCTTTTTCATTTTAAAACGTTCTGTATATGTGTCAAATGTTGATTGAAATACAATAAAGGTTCTATTTAAATTAATAGTGTCACGTATTTGTTAGAAGGTCTTTAACTTTATTACGAAACAGATAGCAAAACTTTTCTTTATTTTTCACTTTAATTACTTTGATCGCTTGAATTTCAATGATCAATATGAGCCTTGAATCTATTGTTTGTATCTTCTTTTATTATTGGTTCTAATTGTCCCGTCCAAACCCAGACGTGTGGCGACAGCAATGTTGTAAGTGGCATACGCTGCGCCGCGGGCGCGGGCTAATCGCGCCGTGCGAATATTTACGGTCCCCCGGGTGGTGTCATCTGATAATATCCCTGCATGTCCAGCTCATGTTGGAAAAATCGCTGCTCCGTCCAGCCGCACGCTGGGACATCGTAATTTGCTTTTGATGCGACCATTCAAAACGATTGCCCAATGATTAATGTACGAGATAAAAGTGTAATGTGCAGATAATTAAGATAATGCGAGCACTGTGTCAATTGACTTCGGGAAATGCTGCTGAGTTGCGTATATTGTCGGACAATTTTGACTGGTTTTGTTGTCGGCCATTCGTATTAAGCCGCGTTTGTTTGTGTAGTACTTACCTAATCCTTCAGAATAACGCCTATTTTGTTTCAGGAAAATATATTACGGGTTATAACAACTAAAATCGAAGGGATAATATCAAAATATTGATAATCTTTCAAGTATACTTGGAAAATCCAAATATAAAAGAAGATTAAAATACGAGTAGGTACTAAGTCGATACACGTGCTGGCAGAAAAGATCTGATATTAAAGTTTCCGATAAAGGTGGATGTAGTGCATTGTGAAAATGAAGTGGATTACTCGATAAGTAATTGTAGCTTAAAATCCTGATCCAAGCTGCTTGTTTAAACACGTTGTTAAAAAGAAAACCGCTTCAGCACAAACAACGGATTACTTTAATTGTTTAGGTTCAAAGGCGAGGCGGAGCAGGCGTGAGGTGAGAGTGTGGTCGCGGTACACACATCCCAGTAATATAGTTGATGTTGTTAGTGTGTTGTTACATTTGTTGTTGGCCAATAGACAGCGCTGAGTGATTGGAACATAATCGATAACAACAACAAAATGTCTGAAATAGTAAACCGTTCTGTACGGGCGCGTGATATTTTCTGTATTGTACTGTGTTGTTCGTACAAATTTGTTCCGTGTTGAACAATGATAACGCCAATTAAGGAGGAAACAAATGTGTTTAAAACCAGCAATTAGCCGCTATTTGTCCACCGAAAGTTTTTAGTTCCTCTTGTTTTATCGGAATCAAATGGCATTACCTATCGTTATGATTCCGTGATTTTCAGGGAAAGTTCAATAACAGTTGGCCGTTGGTCCGATTGAGACATCTATGGCGGCTTATAAATTTTAATATCAGGGTTACTACCTTCAGTACAAGGCGAAGACTCGAGCGAGAATCGATCTAATTTTATTTTTGACACGCTTATTATGTGAGTAGTTAAATGGTTAAGCGACCTAGCTTAAAACAGGGTACATCAAGAGTTTAGTAAAACGGTTAGGTAAATAATCTGACATGGCCCAATGACCCTATCTAAAAAGAATGACCCAGGTCAAGAATAGCTATACTTACAGACGTTGTTTGTTGTCACAGTTTAGTAAAAATGTGTCTGTATCCTTTGTACAGGTATCAACAAAAAAATTGCCTAATCGATTGTTTAAACTGGAATGCGGCTCAAAATCCTCAGAAGACCCACACATTGGGCCTTAAACGATGATCAAGTAAAAGGCACAACATTAAGACAATAAAGTGGCCCTTTTGCCTATAACAATCATAATGTACGGACCCTTTCGGCTTAACAACTTGGGACCGTTTCAACGTTACCGAGCTGTATGCTTGGAAAATGTCAACACGATAATGTATTATTTAAAAGGAAATGTTAGGTGTTTAGGGCTATAATTATTTAGGCATTAGGCAACGTATCCCTTATATTGTGGCTTATCCCGAAATTAATAGGCCTAGTTCGGTGGGAACGGGTGAATTGATTTGGTTGTATAACCAGATTAATAAAGTAGCTGCTGGCTGGGAAAACAATATGCCTAAATTTATGTTGTAATTTGTTCATGGATTGTGTTTCTTATATTATTAGATATTAAAAATATGTAATTATTATTATACTATGTTCAAATAACAAAATATTTTAGTTCATTAATTGGACACCAGAAGGTTCTTATACCGATCTCTAAAATTAATTAGGAATAAGTATACCTACTTAATTAACGTAGGTAAACCTTATCTTCTTGTCTATACTTAAAGCAAAATTTCATTCTGAGACCTTGACCTTGATTCTGCTCGAATAGACTTTAGCAATATACTCAAAATCCAGAAATAAAATCACTAAGGAAGATTCCGCGCCAATAATAAAAATTGTAATAGGTACTTACTTGTAGTATGATAAAAACAATAACTCTTTTTCTTGCGCACTCGGGTAAAAATCGACTCAATCATTGATTGATCTGTTTCAGTAGGTAAGTATACTTACTTACTTAATATTTCATATTCTTGAAGTTTTCTTATATCCTTAATTTATGCAGCTCGGAGTCAAAGTTATTTTGTCTTTGATGACTAGGTATGTTAAAAAATCTTGTAACATTTAACGCTCACTTTTGTTACGCTCACAATACTCAAGAAAAGAATAAAGTCTTTAATTCTGTCCAAATAATTTCAATTCAATCACTCAAAACTCGGAATGTATTCTTAAGTTCGTCGGTTTGAGCTTCGTTAAAATTCAGATGCGAGGCTTAAAGCCCAATCAGGCCGTATTACCGCAAGAATTAGATGGTTATTTGGAATCGTTGGCGGTGGAACCCTAAAACCAATACATTAAAGGGCCTAAAATCAATCAAGCACAATGACATTGTAATTATCCCGACGCAGGTCTGCGGTTGTCTGGCGGTTTTATTTAAGAGAGAGATGGTAGGTACTATTAATAATATATGTATGTTTGTATCATATCGTTTCAGATAATAGATTCGCTACGCAATCCTAATTAAACTGTGTATTAACTTAACTAACAATAGATACAGAAAAAACGTAGCACAAAATTTATTTTTTATTAAAGAAAGTAAGTAGTGTTAAGGTAGATAAGTAGACTCAACTGGATAGAGTCTTAAAATAGACTTGTATCTTATCCGTGAACTCGAAAACAACTTAGTACCAAGCGAATTATTATTTCATCTTGTTAGTGTGATAACACAATTACTTACCCAACTTATTTGGAGCAGGTACATTTTATTTCATTACTCATTTATTTGTTTGAAACTAGATTCTACTACTGATTTCTTATTTAAGAACGTTTTTGTAGACCTGACATTCAACTAAAGCAACTCTTATGTGGACAGAGTTGCAGGCACAGTTATTTTCGATATAAAATATATTTAATCCCAACTAATATTATAAATGCGAAAGTAACTCTGTCTGTCTGTCTGTCTGTCTGTCTGTCTGTCTGTCTGTCTGTTACGCTTTCCCGCTTAAACCTCGCAACCGATTTTGATGAAATTTGGCATAGAGATAGTTTGAGTCCCGGGAAAGAACATAGGATAGTTTTTATCCCGGTTTTTGAAACAGGGACGCGCGCGACAAAGTTTTTCTGTGACAGACAAAAATCCACGCGGGCGAAGCCGCGGGCGGAAAGCTAGTTGCAA